GAAAATGTGAAATGCTTAAAATAAAAAGGCATAAGACAATGCTGAATTTCATATCCCAATGGGAAATTTTCATGACTCACATGTTTGATTATGTATCAAACAACTGTGCTCGCCCTAGTGCAGCTGCACTGTCAAGATATTGCTTAAATTCCAATACAACAGGCAATTTAAATTCAAAATAATTCGAATGAATTTCAAATTGCAATATGCTTAGCACTTCGCAGTACTTTCAGTATTTTGATTTTAATTAGGCCCTTGAAGATTGATTCCTTCTATTTTTAAGTCCCTTCGAGAATTGTTCACTCACATGTGTTAGATGTGACATATCAAGAAGATGACATTAATTCTACATTTCAATGATTTTGAAAGAAAAGGTGTGTTTTATGTGAATATTTTGATTAAAAGTCATAGAGCGCAGGTCTGCTCCAAGTCAGTCTCTTGATATAATATGTAAAATTATAAAATCAATGAAATATGTGAATATTGCACTGGAGTAGGCTTGCCCTCTGTAAAATCTGTAGTCAAAATTGAAAAAATATTGTCCATTTTGTCCTCTTTCTTAAAAATAACGAAAGATCTATCATCCCATACAAAAAAAAGGTACATATAGGCATGCCTTTTTTGTGCTTATTCAGTACCTAAAGTGTGCCTACTAATATAGGTACAGAAAAGGCATACCTATTCTGTGCCAATAATGAACTTAATTTTTTTCCAATGTACCTAAAATGTACCTACTTTGGACTTTGTCATTTTTCAATGTGCCTGAAATGTACCTATATTGAACTTTGTCATTTTTCAGTGTGCCTGAAATGTACCTATATTGGACTTAAATATTTTCCAGTGTACCTAAAATATACCTACATTGGACTTAGTCATTTTCTAGTGTGCCTGAAATGTACCTACATTGGACTTTGTCATTTTTCAATGTGCCTGATTAGTACCTATAAAAGACTTAGTCATTTCACAGTATTTTCGTCTACTTACCCATACCAAAAATATTAACATTTCCATATATCTTTTCTTTAAATTTTGTACCTTGAGGATGAGTAAACTTTTAGAATATACAACTTTTTGTACCTAAAATTGACAGTCATGTTTGAATTTAAGTAAAACTTAATTCAAGACTTTGTCATTTTTCAATGTTATTTCTACACTAAATTGGACTGTCACATTTATTGCATCTTTGTAACTTAAAACTGATTTTTTCAACATGGGCACCTATTTGTGATAATATTTAAATAGAATCATGTTTTTCAATCAGAGAAAAATGAAAACTCAAACAAGTGAATCAATAATTAATAACAATTGAAATTATACTTTTATAGTAATACAATTATATCATGACATTTAGGATGTGTCATTTGTGTGTGTGTGTGTGGGGGGGGGGGGTTAGAATAAAAGCCACTTTTTATCCATCATTTCTTTTTTTTTTAAAATTATTATTCAACAATTTTTGTTCATTTGATTATTAATAATATTATACTTAAGATTTTCAGTTCATTAATGCAAGCATAATGTCTACTGTGTTGGGGGAAAAAAAGGGGGGGTAATTTTGTTAATCAAATGCCAAAAATATATATATAATTATCAATTCAATTCAATTAAATTTTTTATGGCAAATAAAAGATCCATTTTTGTTCTTTAAAAACCCCCTCTACCCTACAGGGTTCTTAGTAATTTTGTTTTACATGTTATGAAACAAAGGAGGGGGGTGTCTTATAAACACAGTATAATTATAAATACCAATATTTTGACCATCTGAATTGCCCAGTTTAACAGAAAAAAGTGTATTAAAATCAATAATACCTTGTGTTACAGTCCATTAAATGATATCCAAATTAGGACATCTCTCTCTCTTTCTCTCTCTCTCTCTCTCTCTCTGGTGAAATACAGAAATGTTAGGGATGTTTAAATTTACTTATATAGAGAGTGGGAATTTATTTATATCCAGCATTCCAGTGATATTTTAAAATAGACTTCATTTTTCTTTGTATGCAAAACGATGTTGATTTCCAGTGTTCTTCAGTGACACAGGTGTTTGTACTTGGTGACCTTTATAGCTTACACTGCAGAAATTTTGGCTCGTGTATCACGTGCAGTTCTTCAATCACAAAGGGCTGATTTGAAGTCTACAGCTCAATCATAATAGGTAAATAAACAAAAGAAAAAATAATAAAAATGAAATAAAAACAAGATATTTATGAAATTTGTTTTAAACTATAACTGATAGTAAAGTAGTGGCAGTAAAGAATAGTGTCACATTTACAATTGATCAGGCTTGAAATTTAATATAAATAATAGCCTTCAAGGTGTTCAAAAGACCTGTCCTTATTGTTTAATTTACCATACACATAGTATGTAAACATGATGTGTATATTTTACAGGGTTCATGTAGTGACACTTCATTTCGATGTTTGGGAATGTACTTAGAGTGCCAGTTACATTAAGATTTTAGCTGAGGTCTAGTACATAAAGAATTTGTTGTAAATCAATAAATTTAATCAATTTCACATGTAATTTAAAAAAAAAAGAAGTTATGTGAAATTAGAATGGCGACCCCGATTATAACACAAAATGGCGTCCAAAA